GTGTAAGAGAATGGTCGAGTTTCATTCTTCTACATATAGCTGTCAAGACATGTCTCCAAAGGCAAAGGAAACAAAAGTGAAAATGAACTTTTGGGACTTCATCAAGATCAAAAGCTTCTGCACAGCAAAGGAAACAGTCAACAAAACAAAGAGGCAACCCATGGAATGGGAGAAGATATTTGCAAATGACAGTACAGACAAAAGGTTGATATCCAGGATCTATAAAGAACTCCTCAAACTCAACACACACAAAACAGATAATCATATCAAAAAATGGGCAGAAGATATGAACAGACGCTTCTCCAATGAAGACATACAAATGGCTATCAGACACATGAAAAAATGTTCATCATCACTAGCCATCAGGGAGATTCAAATTAAAACCACATTGAGATACCACCTTACACCAGTTAGAATGGCCAAAATTATTAAGACAGGAAGCAACGTGTGTTGGAGAGGATGTGGAGAAAGGGGAACCCTCTTCCACTGTTGGTGGGAATGCAAGTTGGTGCAGCCACTTTGGAGAACAGTGTGGAGATTCCTCAAGAAATTAAAAATAGAGCTTCCCTATGACCCTGTTTGTTTTTAAAGACATAACGTTTATAAACGTGTGTCTCTGTTTTCAAGTGGATAGGTGAGAAGGAGATCCTGCCCCCGGCCCCTTGCATCTCACCTGCGCTGGCTTGAGCACTAAGGTATTGCCTGCCGCCAAGCATGCCGCGCTCTTCCACGCCAGCATCATCAGCGGGTAATTCCAGGGTATGATAATGGCACAGACGCTGCAGGGGTAGAAAGACTGCATCCTTAGTTGTCTCCAACCAACACAACTCACACCGGTCACCCAGGGCACTCTCCTTGTCTTACCCAAGTGGCTCCTTCTTGGTGAAGGTCAGATTGCGGTTTGGACGGGCCTGGTTGATTGGAATGGTAGAACCCTAAAAAAGTAAAAAAAAAAAAAGGGGGGGGTGATTTCTATTTTACTAATTCAAATGAGTAAATCTAATCTCAAGGAATCCATTTTCTCCCCACCTGTCTTAACTTTTCGTAGCTGGTATGAAAAAGGCAGTGTTTAGTTTATAAGAAATACATCCACCCCAAGAAAAGGAACTGCTATTTCTTTCTGGAGGGAAGTAAGACACAGGAGAATAAACATCCTTATATCTATCTATCTATCTATCTCTAAATACTAAACATAGTTCTTTTTCTTAAGATTTTATTTATTTGTTTGAGAGAGAGAGAGAGCATGAGGTTGGGGGGAAGGGGCAGAGGGAGAGGGAAAAGCAGACTCCCCGCTAAGCAGGAAGCCAGCCATGGGACTTGATGCCAGGATCCCAAGATCATGATCTGCAGAACGCAGACACCCAGCTGACCGAGCCACCCAGGTACTCCAATATACCAAACGTAACTCTCATTTAATTACCTCCATTCCTAATTTCTTGACATGACAGAGAATGTTAACTGCCTGCCCAGTATCCATTCTTCCCTCTGTCCTTAGTAACAGAAACCCTATATTAATAATGGTAAGAGCCATGTGCCCAGATAAAATTCTGTTTTCCAGTTTCCAGGGCAGACAGGGACAGCCAATGGAAGATATAAGCACAAGGCATCGGAAAGGGAACACTCTTTACAGTAGGCTGACTTACTCTGACCCGTGCTCTTTTACCATAAACCCCCACACTCTCTTGGGCCTTCCTTCTGCTCAGAACATCCCTGAAATGGCTGGTAAGTGCAGCGCTTATCAGGAGACCATGACACAGCCTTGAGGGCGCCAGTCACCAGTGCTAAGGATGGTCTGGCAGGAAGAGAGGGAAACTATGTGTCATATACCAGCGTTGACTACTTGCCTTGTGCTCCTTGAAAATTAGGTAAAAACAAAGTCCTGCTTGAGTTTCTGTTACATGCAGCCAAGACTTAATCCCAGCTAATTCACAACAGTAGTCTTTAAATGAAGCCATTCATTTGTTCGGCCACAGGAAAGAGTATAGCTGTTAATAATTACACGCGTCCGGGGGAGGAGTCAAGATGGCGGAGAAGTAGCAGGCTGAGACTACTTCAGGTAGCGGGAGATCAGCTAGATAGCTTATCTAAAGATTGCAAACACCTACAAATCCAATGGGAGATCGAAGAGAAGAAGAACAGCGACTCTAGAAACAGAAAATCAACCACTTTCTGAAAGGTAGGACGGGCGGAGAAGTGAATCCAAAGCGACGGGAAGATAGACCGCGGGGGGAGGGGCCGGCTCCCGGCAAGCGACGGAGCAACGGAGCACAAAATCGGGACTTTTAAAAGTCTGTTCCGCTGAGGGACATCGCTCCAGAGGCTTAACCGGGGTGAAGCCCACGCAGGGTCAGCGTGGCCTCAGGTCCCGCAGGGTCACAGAAGGATCAGGGGTGTCTGAGTGTCGCAGAGCTTACAGGTATTAGAACAGGGAAGCCGGCTACAGAGACAGAGCCGAGGAGTAAGCTCTAAGCTCGGGGTTACCTTGAACCGGTTGCAGGCTCGGTCAGCTCGGAGCGCGGCCGGAGGCAGGGTGACGGGAGTAAATCGGCGCTGTTCTCTGAGGGCGCACTGAGGAGTGGGGCCCCGGGCTCTCGGCTCCTCCGGGCCGGAGACCGGGAGGCCGCCATCTTCATTCCCGCCCTCCGGAACTCTACGGAAAGCGCTCAGGGAACAAAAGCTCCCGAAAGCAAACCCGAGCGGATTACTCAGCCCGGCCCGGCTAAGGGCGGTGCAACTCCGCCTGGGGCAAAGGCACTTGAGAATCACTACAACAGGCCCCTCCCCCAGAAGATCAACAAGAAGCCCAGCCAGGACCAAGTTCACCTACCAAGGAGTACAGTTTCAATACCAAGGAGAGCAGCGTAATTCCAAAGGAGGAGAAAGCAAAGCACGGAACTCATGGCTTTCTCCCCATGATTCTTTAGCCTTGCAGTTAATTTAATTTTTTTTTTTCGATTTATTTTTCTTCTTCTGCTAAACTTTTTTAACTTTTACCCTTTTCTTTTTTAACGTTTTTTAACTAGTTTATCTAATATATATATATTTTTTTCCTTTTTATATTTTTTTCTTTATTGGTTTTCTTTTTTT